CGATCCAGTTTGGCAAGGAGGCCCGCCACCCCCTTGATTTATCAGGTGACCCCAGTGAATTAAAGTCCAGGACCTTAATCTGGACAGTCCTGCTTCGAGAAGTATCCCCACAGACACCCGCTGGAAGGCGGTGAAAGAAGGAATAGCCTGGTTGCTCAACTAGTTTAACGTTCAGTACCAATCTCCCTAACTTACCAAAGGTGAAAGGACTTAGGAGCAGAGCGCTTTGAAAACCATACAGGTGTCGGGATCAACACTTCACTGGCGTGATTGCTCAAAGAGTAGAGGTCAGTAAGCGGAATGTCAACCTTCTCTACATGTAGTACAGGACTTGCCTCATAGTCTTCTGAGCCGGCGTCAAGAGGCCTAGGAGTTCCTGCCATTGGCGGGGCGTCCTGGCTAGCTAGAGCTAGGGGAGACCAACGCTGTATCTGCAGAAAGCGATCCTCGGGACAAACATTCTGTTGACCTGTGTGCCGAAAACAGCTCGATGAATTGAAGTCGGCACATTGGGACTAGTTCGATTTCTGCAGATTGATTAACCATCCTAATTGGCAAAGAAGCTGTATCGCAAACTGCATGTGGCCGAACCAGAAGGGCATGATCGTTCTGTGCCTGAATGCGGTCGTCGATGTAGGCTTGAACACTGTCCTCTTTGCGATGAAGAAAACTGGTGATAAGCTTAGTTACCCGTGTAAACAGCCGCGGGGCGAAGAAATTCAAACTGGAGAACACGCCATTGATAGTGGATGTCTCGAAGATGAACCCGAAGGAATTTGCGTCGCCAGGAATATCGGGATGTGGGAGGTAGGCATCCTGAAGATCCAAACTGACCATGCAGTCTCCGGCTTGATAATTGTCTTGAGGAGTGCCACCGATATCATGTGAAAATGGAAGGGGGGCTGCAGAAATTTCTCGTTGAAAGTCTTCATGTTGAAGATTAATCTCAGTTTGTCGAATCCTTCTTGGGCACCAGAAAGATTGGAGAATAGAACCCTGGATTGGTCGGGCGGACCCAGGGATCGATCGCATAAGTTTCTTGAGTAAAGTGTTTATCGTTGATCACAGAACAGCCGATTGTTGTTTGGGATCACGTTCTGCGATCTGGAAGCATTGTGGCGGAGGTTTCCGATGACTGGTAACTGGAATCCCTTGGTTAACATGGACAGGGCGTGAGGGTCTCCCAAAATTGTCAATTTGGGAGCAAGTCAGCCTCCTACTGGGGAAATCTGAATGGAGTACGACTGGAGGTGGAAGCTCCCAGTGGCCTTTCAATGTCAACAAGTCATTGCCTATCATGTCTCTGTGAGGTGGGCTGGTCGGTGAGTGGAAGTTGATCGTGGAGCAGTAAGCAGTTCTTCGTTGGCGACTCGATCGTCCTCTTCCGTAGGAACCCCTCCCACGAAAAAGCCGTAGAACCCGGCGAAGGTCGGATTAGTCGGGACATAGTGAGCTGGTGCGTCGCTGTCTCATTGATTGCTCCACTTGTAGTTGCTGGAACCTCAACAATTAGGCCGAGACTTGTAGATGGGCATCCTTCCCTACTCTTTCGGCTACTTCCCTAATCGTCCGTTGAACAGAGAATTGCCCGACCAGGGTGGGTGAAACAGGTCCGTTCTGAATCTGTCTTCCCAGGATGATAATTGTAGCGGTCCTCTCGCCTCATAGCCGTGACATAGAAGAAGAAATGAGCCAAGAGATCTAGGGCGGTTTGGAATTGTTCCTGCAACTCGGATGTATGCTTGCTGATGGGCAGCGCATGTCGCGACGGAGACATGGCCACCGCTTCAGTAGTTGTCAACATTAAGTTCAATGGAGCCATAATCTTCCTTATGGACGCATCTAAATGTATCAGTTCACGGTCCTCGACCAGAAAGGGCGAATAATCTCTGTTTAAGTCCCAAAAACAGCGTGATATCATCATCTACTGGAGGAGAGGCAATCATAGATGACAATCCATGTACATGAGCGATGCCAAGTTGAGCGGTAGCAGCAAAACCATCTTTAATCTTCCTCAAACTAGCAAAAGCCTCATCCAGGGGCGCAGTCAGCTGAGTGATGCGCGATGGGGAAGAACATGATAGAACCAAAGTCTCCAGTCTTCATATCAAAACTGGATAAAATGTCATCCTTTGAAGTACTACTGTAAGCGTGAGGTCATCAGCAATCCAGATAAGTAGCTGAGGTGAGTCAACAGCATCCACACTCACATCGAGAAGGAGACATACTTCCTGAAGACATAGGCGGCGTTGTTGAGCGTAGAATCTCTTGCACAGGCACGCTGGCGTAGTGAAATCCTGATGACTGAGTAACAGGAGATGACACTGGCTCCTGATGCTACCGCCAACACAAAGGCATCAAAGTCCATAGGTTGAGGCGTTGCCCCTCAGACACTGGATTCCAGGAAAAGCGGCAAAACAGATCTGGCCGTCGAAACTGTAGCAGAAGGAACTGATGAAATTGTAGCAGCCCCAGAGGAAGATGAGGTATGTCATGGCGAGGATGAACATACATCTGATTGAGTCGCATACATGAGATGATGGCATTTGTGTGAGTAAGCGCTGAAACCTGAGAGCGTTGAACCATGAACCACTCCAGTAGCTTGAGATCGTGCGCACCAGGAACACCATAAGTAAGCAATTGAGCCTAGTGGCCAATGAGTGAAACTTCGCAATAGGAATCCCTGGAGTGGCGTTGATCCAATAATACTATGAGTAAGCGCCGAACCAGGGCTGACGCGTGAGCGCTGAATTAAAAGCAGCATGATGAAAGCGTCGAACTAGTAGGGAATCAAACCGGAAGCGCCGGGAGCAAAGCGCCACACCAGGAGAGCGTCAAACCCTGAACACGGAAGCAAGCATCGAACGCGGTGGAAGCGCCGAACCAGGATGAGCGCCCGGACCAGGAGTGAGTGCTGCGAGGAGTCCTAGGAAGGGTGCCAAACCGTGCATACCATGAGCACAGCGCCGAGCCAAGACCAACATTAGTGAGTGCCAAACCGGGAATCCTGGGAAGCTGAACTGGGAGCACCATAAAGGAAGCATCGAACCAGATGCAAGCGTCAAACCAGGACCATTGGGAGGAAAGCGCATAAAACATGAAGCGCCAAACCTGGAGTAAACACTGAACCAGGAATACCAGGGTTAAAGCGCCCGAACCAGTAGGAAGCCGAACTGGTAGTAAGCGCCGAATCCATCCAAAGCGCCACACTGGAAGAAGCTGGCTCTGTAGTAACGCGTGGGATCCGTGACAAGCGGCTCTGCCCGATATAATTGTCCTAATGAGGCGTCACTCCGAGGTAGCGCCGCTCTGGTTGAAAAGCACGCGCTGCCTGTAACTGTCACTTGTGATGTAATAGTATGAGTAGTGGCAACCTCTGACCCATTAGAGGCGTTGAGTCACATTTACCAACAAGGATGGCCATGGTTGTATGTCAGATGTGGACAAAACAACAATACGTGGAAATGTGACGAATCTTCCAAAGTAACAGAACTAGACAAATGGGGTCCAGAACAGTTGAAGCACAGAAAATCTTCTTTAGGAGATTTGGATTTAGAAACGTATTGCAGATTTTATTCGGCGATCTAATTTAGAACACCGGCTCCGATGGACCTTCGATGGATTCCTCCGATCTCTATCTGCCTTTAAGCCTGCTAGCTACCCGGCGATACTCTGAGAATGCATCGTCGTCCAGGTTAACACATAAACTACAGCGTTTAGACCAATTGCATCGTTCATGGCAATCCACGCAAGAGTTATGAGGGTCCGCTGCCGAATAGTTACTATTGCATCTATCACAATGTTTATGTTTCTTTGAAGCGTGACGATTGGCTTTCCCCATAGTAGAAAACACAAAGAAAAACCTCTCTTAACCACAACACACGTCCACACAGCGTGGCGACAAGAAAGAGAATGACAAGTAGAGGTGGTCATGTGATCGTTTAGGCGAGCCGCACGCTTTGATGGATGATTGACAGGCATTGATGTTGGGGTGAAGGCAGAGGTCAGGGCGGGTCAGAGGCCAGTTAGATTTGACTCAACTTAGCTGACAGCACGTTTCCACACATGGTCTTAGAAGAGAGAGATGGTGCATACCGTGAGATAGGATAAGTTTAAAAATACAGTGAAGCCCCGTTAGTCCGGACTCAGATAATCCGGAAGTCTCGCCTCCCGGGCGATTTCAGCTTGTTACCAATCTATGCCTATATAATTTGCCTCGATAATCCGGAAATTCGGTTTCCGGAACCGGACGGTAAGTAGCTGTCACCAATCAGTAAAATAAACAGTAAATTGCTTCACAGTCCGGACCTGTAAGTCGTGTTCACGAACTGTAACAACACCGCCCGGCGATGTTTACTTAATTAACTGGCCAACTGGGTTGTTGTTTTAATTAGACATAAAAAGCTCCCGACTGAAGATACTGTACATTTACACTTTGATTGACACCACAATACAAGGCGTGGATGACAAGTGAACTGTTTTGTGATTGGTTAATGTACTTTGACAGACAGATCCGGTCACGTGGACAAAAAGTGATTTTGCTTTACGACAATGCTGCAAGTCACATAGTCCGGACTATTCGCAATCCGGACGAATTTAATGAGAAACGCAACCGTCCGGATTAACGAGGCTTCACTGTATATATTAAAGCTCTCAAAGGGTTCAAGATTACTTAATGACAAGCGTATTTCTAAAAATGACAAACTTGAGATTTGTACTAAATGGGAAATGATATTCAATGATTGTGAATTTGATTGGCACAAAATTTTCAACTTCTATTGACATGTATTGAAAGATGTTAACCTTCTTTATTTTCAATACACATTTCTGCAAATAGTTATTTATACTAAAATATAATTATTCAAAATGAACCTGACTGAAAATGATTTGTCTACCGTTAGTTTGCAATGATGTTTCTGAGAGCATTTGTTGTGCTTATTAGGACTGTTGTGAAACCATAAAATTCTGGAATGATCTCGAAATCAATTAATAACTATTTACCATGAAAAATAAACATTACAAAATATTTGATTTGGTTTGGTACATTACATAATGATGTATTACTAAATCAAATCATTATCTCTGCCAAAAAACATATCAATTTAAGTAAATCTAAAAAATCAATTCCAAAATTCATTAAATATAAAATGGCATCAAAAGAGATATTTTCTGTTCCAAACTTTATTTTCAAGGGAAACAATGAAATTGATAAATAAATTGATAAATTCAGTCTTAAGTCTTAAATGGAATTCACTCATGCCAATATTCAGCAACAAATTATAATTACATCTTTACACCTTTTAGGTGTTTGTTGTTACTGTATACCTTTGACTATGGGAACAAATAAAAAAATACATAAAAAACATGGGAATGTTAAGATACAATATGAATACACTTTGTCAAACTGATTTTTAAATCATAGCTTTTGTGCAAAGAGTAACAAGAGGGCACAGAAATCTACATCCTTTTCCCTTTCAATGGTGCATAAAATCACCAGAAGTGTAAACATAAGAGAACATACCATTAATCCTAAAGCATTAATGAGCACAAGTTACATAATAATGACTACACCGAAATCTTTCACTCACTCCCTACTCTTAAAGCTTTCAATACCTTGTAATGCCATGAATTAGAAATGGTACCCTGGTACTTTTCAGTGACTGATTTTGCATTTGACAGCAAAGGCTGAAGTCATAAATTCATAATAATAATAATCATAATAATGTAGCATTCATCAGTCCTTTAATGTTTGTATGATGCTGTACCTTTCTTTATAATTGACTCTGCATTATAATTAACATCCCAGACTACTCCAGCTGTACCATAAACTAGTCTACCAAGACTGACTACCTCCTGGTCACCTGACTCAACATAGGGATTTTTTCCTGGGGATCTATTTTCACCTATATAGATACAGCACTGTTGTATGACATGGGATAACAGATGTGCCCACTTGCCTAATTAAATGCTAAATCTAAAAATTCAACAGTGCCCCTGCATACAGTTCAGATTGCTCCTCTTCACAGCAAGAATAGGCATCAACTGAATTCCAAGCTTTTCCTCAACAAACTGTTGATCTGGACTGGGGGGCAACCCAACATGGGATGGTATGGTGAACAACCTGTAAACATATGAAGTTATTTATACACACAAACATTTGTTTTTAATGCCATAATATAAATAATAACTGCATCCATGTGTTGATGTTTTCTGAGTAACCATGAAGGGATGCACAAAATAGACACAGATATTGAGATTTAACTAAAAATGCCTTATTTGACAATTGAGGTTAAAATGTAACATCAAAACAGAAAAGTCTAACTACAGTATATAACACTGCCAAAGAGGAGCATACCTGTTAAGGTGTCATGACAGAAAGATGTGAACTGTCAAATACATTGATTCACTCAATGGAAAAATAACAAATACATCTTCAGCCATGCATGTGCAAATGAAACTAGCAAAATATCTCTATAATCCTAACAAAAAGTGGGGTCAATTGTCTGATTGTGACTATGGCATACAGTGTTCATGAATTACTACCAGTTTGTGGTGGTACCAACGGTTCACAAAAAAGCTGAGCATATATTGCCTGACCAGTGAGTGGGAACCTGCAAGTCCAATACATCTGTTCTGTGTTTGTGGCTCTGCCCTAACGTTGATATGTTCCAACTTACACCAACAATAATTTCCTTCATATCAAGCATCAGGAAGATGCCTTTACATCTATGACCTTAACCATGGACATGACCTTTATAGATTACATATCATATTTCAGATCCCATATATGTTATTTGTTATTTATCTCCTACTCTTCCCTGATATTAGGGATGATGAGTTAAGACTTATGACAATTATTGTTCCCATTTCAATGCATAATTAGTAGTGTTGGGAATTGGTTAAAATTGCTCATTGGTCCATTACAACCGATCAATCATCGAAAATAATTGGTTAGGATCATTTATCAAATGTTCGAACACAAAAATGATAAAACTTGACAATCCTACTTTTCTGGGGAATGTCACCTCCTTCAAGTTTTAATCTAAGGCAGTCATGATGTCATTTGAAATAACACCATTGCTTCTATTTCTTGAAGGTTGTGCCTGAAATGCATCAAAATCCATCATTAGGTTCAATTGTATCTCATATGTTTGTTTCTATTTTATCTCACATTATGTGATTAATGTTAATAATGTTATATAATTTATTGAGTCATCTTACAAAAGTTATTAACAAATGTATACAATACAAAAAGTACACACAAGGACCCTCTTTATTCTATCTGGAGTGTTATTCCACAAAAAAATGAAAAGAATAAGACAAACCAAACTGAGGTAAAACATATTTTAATGTGGTTGCCTCATCAGCATTAAGATTACTCTTTAGAGTTTATTTGGGTAAACATACTGACAGTATGGTACAATGAACATATCACTGCACAATAGATTATAACCTAACAAACACATATGAAACACATAAACAGTCACTGAACACTATATTAATGCACACCATTATTAACATACCATATCAAGATGTAATCACACCCAAATAGTTCAGCTGCTGCCTATTCTTAATATGTGGCTGATTATGAATTAGGGCAAATGAGACACTAACATGACTAACAATTATCTTCAAACTAAGAAACAAAGGCTAGGTTCTGTACTTACTAAGTTAGGATGGATTACTTGTTGAAGTGATAGTACATCTCAGTGATGTATTAATGGTAATCATAATAATTATTAAGCCTTTTAAAATGGAAAAGAAACATATATTATCCAAGTCCTTCAAATCCATTCTTCAATATACATAATAATTGTCAAAACATATCACATTTATACAAGTTGTACACATGAATCCATGTTATATGCAAGATTACACGTTCTCAGTAAAATACACATTCTAGACATGTTTGGGGTTCAGTCCCATCCAGGATTTTAACCGACTCTCTCCACCAAATCGCCAACATACAAAGTCAGTGATCTAGCCAACTCAGCTGTGAACATAATTATATTGTCAGACTTTCACCACACCTAGTCAAATACATCCAAAATGGCCTTTGGTCCAAAATGTGTTTTACATGCTCTAACATTGAACAGAGTAAATGACATGGCAACTAAATAATATTTCACATGTGGTAGTCTCCAAAGCAGTTTGCAAAAGAAAATTATTTAGGTGATAAACAGCTGGTGCTTCCTTTTCATATATTTTGCTGTAATCTTCAGGTTATTATAAATATGAAATATGAAATGCATACTTACATGCACTTACATGTTGCATGAAATATCACTAAACTACTTAAGTCAATAATGCCTTGTCTTCCTATGTGATGTTTATAGGTGTACTTATGACCCCTTCTGCAGCTGCCCTTAAACGTACAGAAAGGTCTTAATGTTGAAAAAATTGAGACATCTGCACTAGGCAAATCTGTGATTTATGTACTGTATGTGTACATGTGAGTGAGAGAGTGAATTTAGTTTTATGCATAATTAGCAATATTCCAGCAATATCCACGCACGGGGGACACCAGAAATGGGCTTCATCCATGTGGGGAATCGAACCTGGGAACCATGCCCTGTATATGTGTACATATCACTTAAAAAAATATGTCACTTAAATTTTTTTTTTTTAAAGAATTGGATGAAGCTTCAATACTTTTCCCTGTCCAACATGTCTATATGGCACAAGATACAGAGAGTTTTGTTACACTGAAAGACCTGTAAGAGATAAATTATGTCTATTTCATTAATGTTTTGCAAAATGTATTTCTGCATTAATATAGAATGTTTTATAATCATACAGATACCATGGGAGTTTATTCATTTGTCACAAAAGAGTGTCATGGGATAATTTCACGCAACATCATATTTCTCGAATGACAGAAAATCTTTAAACCTCAAAACTAGTAACTATGCAACTCCCTGTTCATTAATGGTCAGTTGTTTGCCTTCCTCTGCTGACATCATCAAATCATAGCAGAGTCTGCTACATTAATAGAATATGGTTTTGATACTCATGACCTGATGTGATTGAGATAGTTTAAAACTGTTTCAACACACACTCCTGCATTGTTTATATTGTAAACAAACAACTGTCCAGGTTTGATAAACCATTTATGAGAGGGCTAACACCAGTGTCTGATCTTTAATTTATCCCCAAAGTCATTAGTGTAAGCATCTTTGATGTAGGCTGGTGATCTAAGTGGAGAGGAATCAGAAACATTGTTGAAAGTTAGAAAGCACAGAATTCAGGCCAGAAATTGGCCAGGGTCACCATAAACAGCTTTAAAGTCCTGACATATGTAAGGCTGAATAATGAATTTTGCCAGAAAGTATAAAGTAAGGGGTTGGAATATGCCTAGCAATGTGAAACACTGACCAAAGAACCCTACTGCCTGTTAAAGCCAAGAAATTGAAATTTCAACAGATGAAAGCTCTTTGAGACCACAACATCAAACGAAATTACACATGAGTCTATCAATTCATCAAGCTAAGACTTGAGAAATACTTCCATGAAATAAAAAAAATGCCCAAAAGTGATTATTATTCATCAGAAATATCTAATGGATGAGGTTTGAGATACAGCCTTCACTGGACTGGGGCACTTAAATGTACTGTATGTACCTACATGTTCAAGTACCACAACTTGTTCAAGGTGGTAGAGGATATCAAGGTGAAAGGAGGGTGCACACACTGCCAACATCAGACCGACTTGTTGAAACACAACATTGGATGTGAAGGCTTCTGATTCTGCTGTATGTGCAAAGATACACCTCCCCAGTCACCATCAGTCATTCTCCAAGCTGAAAATAGTGTCAAGATCATATTAAATGTTCAATCATAAAGACCATAACAGCCATGAGACAGTTTTTGAGAAACTAAATAATTGTTTGAAAGTCATGAGAGAAAAAAGTTTATTCATATGCAAAAAGGGTGTAACAGAAAGAATGGATCATATGCAACACTGTTTACTTAAAATAAGAGGGTTTTGTGACATATTGTGCCATCAGCAGTGAACACATTTCATACTCACAATACTCATATCATATGACTTTACACACAGACACCCAAATTGTGTCAGTGGTGACTTTATCCTAATTTGTTGTCAATTCATCGGTTTCAACAAATTTAGAAGCTAGGTAAATATTACCATGTGGGCTCTTGTCACTGTTAGACCACAAATCGAGGCTACATTCAAATCAAGGCCACTAAAACAATCCATTCAACTCAAGCAGCCCTAGCTTCACTCCCTTAAATTAGTCTCTATAACAATGCCAACTTGTATCCATGGTGAAACATAAATAGGAAAGCATATACATGTAATGTATGAATTACTAAAATGTGCACTCACCTTTACATGCTGCACAAAATCAAATGTTTTCCCATTAACTTCCAAAGCAACATTAAAAACAACCAGGCTGTTAACAGCCAATACATGTAGTACATATAGCCTCAGACCACTTTACTATCTACAGTGACATGCCATGGCCAGAGCACCATAATTAATATCTGTCCTAGGCTGTCCTGTGGCATGCTGACCAACATACTACTTCTCACTTACCCAGCAAAATATCGGTCTGGATCAGAGCATTTCAATTTTGCTGTATCCACTGTCAACAACGGTCACCGAATTTTCGAGCTGAAATACACTAAACAGCCTTGAACTTGGGGTCAAATCATGAAAGGCTGGAGTCAATAGCATGTGCAGATTGAGGACAAAAACAAATGGCAATAAAGTAAAATGTCTGATCTTTCATTTAAGCTGTCACAAGTCACCCTGAATAAATTAGCACAGACAAATCAGTGCATTTAAACAAGGCACTACATTCTCCTATTTTCCTTCCGGTCATGGTAAAACTTAGAGGAGTAATACAGGAGTGTGAAAGCGCCGACCCCAGTTTCGCACACAAAATGTAACCTACTTGAAAATATCTCTGCACAAATTCTGCAGAAGCAATCAGGTTAAAAAGAAGCAACTACACATTGAAAAAATATAGTTAGTTTTAATTACTGGATGAATGCACATTTTAACAACATAAAATCATCCAATCACTGCTGTCATTTGATTCAGTCAGCACTGAAGGCTCTCTACGATGCTTTAAAATAAAAGGCACAGCAAAACAACATGCATTTCATTTCCTACCAGTCCCCTGGGGTGCTTGGGGCTGGATGAAGCTCTCCTGGGCAGCTGGCAGAACCTCTGTGGTGCACACTGACTGTCCGCCTTGACGGGCCGAGGAAGTGGCCCAGCTAGGCTGAAATGGGAGAGTGAGTGAATGAAATTTTCAGTCTAGAGGGGGTTGTACATGGTCAAAGGGATCAGGTGGGGCCTCTGCACAAGCCAAAACAGCCAAGAGGGTCCAGGGGGGCCAAGACATCATTGTGCATTTAAGGTTTTCTGTGCACTTAAGGACTGCTATAGGAAACCTTAAGTGCACAGAAAACCTTAAATGCACAATGGACCTTTTAAAAAAGGCACAGCAAAACAACATGCATTTCATTTCCTACCAGTCCCCTGGGGTGCTTGGGGCTGGATGAAGCTCTCCTGGGCAGCTGGCAGAACCTCTGTGGTGCACACTGACTGTCCGCCTTTGACGCTGCCGAGGAAGTGGCCCAGCTAGGCTGAAATGGGAGAGAGATTGAATGAAATTTTCAGTCTAGAGGGGGTTGTACATGGTCAAAGGGATCAGGTGGGGCCTCTGCACCAGCCAAAACAGCCAAGAGGGTCCAGGGAGGGGCTAAGACATCATTGTGCATTTAAGGTTTTCTGTGCACTTAAGGACTGCTATAGGAAACCTTAAGTGCACAGAAAACCTTAAATGCACAATGGACCTTTTTAAAAAAGGCACAGCAAAAACAACATGCATTTCATTTCCTACCAGTCCCCTGGGGTGCTTGGGGCTGGATGAAGCTCTCCTGGGCAGCTGGCAGAACCTCTGTGGTGCACACTGACTGTCCGCCTTGACGCGCCGAGGAAGTGGCCCAGCTAGGCTGAAATGGGAGAGAGATTGAATGAAATTTTCAGTCTAGAGGGGGTTGTACATGGTCAAAGGGATCAGGTGGGGCCTCTGCACAAGCCAAAAACAGCCAAGAGGGTGCAGGGAGGGGCCAAGACATCATTGTGCATTTAAGGTTTTCTGTGCACTTAAGGACTGCTATAGAAAACCTTAAGTGCACAGAAAACCTTAAATGCACAATGGACCTTTTTAAAAAAGGCACAGCAAAAACAACATGCATTTCATTTCCTACCAGTCCCCTGGGGTGCTTGGGGCTGGATGAAGCTCTCCTGGGCAGCTGGCAGAACCTCTGTGGTGCACACTGACTGTCCACTTTGACGGGCCGAGGAAGGCCCAGCTAGGCTGAAATGGGAGAGTGAGTGAATGAAATTTTCAGTCTAGAGGGGTTGTACATGGTCAAAGGGATCAGGTGGGGCCTCTGCACCAGCCAAAACAGCCAAGAGGGTCCAGGGAGGGGCCAAGACATCATTGTGCATTTAAGGTTTTCTGTGCACTTAAGGACTGCTATAGGAAACCTTAAGTGCACAGAAAACCTTAAATGCACAATGGACCTTTTTAAAAAAGGCACAGCAAAAACAACATGCATTTCATTTCCTACCAGTCCCCTGGGGTGCTTGGGGCTGGATGAAGCTCTCCTGGGCAGCTGGCAGAACCTCTGTGGTGCACACTGACTGTCCGCCTTGACATGCCGAGGAAGTGGCCCAGCTAGGCTGAAATGGGAGAGAGATTGAATGAAATTTTCAGTCTAGAGGGGGTTGTACATGGTCAAAGGGATCAGGTGGGGCCTCTGCACAAGCCAAAAACAGCCAAGAGGGTGCAGGGAGGGGTTAAGACATATTGTGATTTAGGTTTTCTGTGCACTTAAGGACTGCTATAGAAAACCTTAAGTGCACAGAAAACCTTAAATGCACAATGGACCTTTTAAAAAGGCACAGCAAAAACAACATGCATTTCATTTCCTACCAGTCCCCTGGGGTGCTTGGGGCTGGATGAAGCTCTCCTGGGCAGCTGGCAGAACCTCTGTGGTGCACACTGACTGTCCGCCTTGACGGGCCGAGGAAGTGGCCCAGCTAGGCTGAAATGGGAGAGTGAGTGAATGAAATTTTCAGTCTAGAGGGGTTGTACATGGTCAAAGGGATCAGGTGGGGCCTCTGCACAAGCCAAAACAGCCAAGAGGGTCCAGGGAGGGGCCAAGACATCATTGTGCATTTAAGGTTTTCTGTGCACTTAAGGACTGCTATAGGAAACCTTAAGTGCACAGAAAACCTTAAATGCACAATGGACCTTTTTTAAAAAAGGCACAGCAAAAACAACATGCATTTCATTTCCTACCAGTCCCCTGGGGTGCTTGGGGCTGGATGAAGCTCTCCTGGGCAGCTGGCAGAACCTCTGTGGTGCACACTGACTGTCCGCCTTGACGTGCCGAGGAAGTGGCCCAGCTAGGCTGAAATGGGAGAGAGATTGAATGAAATTTTCAGTCTAGAGGGGGTTGTACATGGTCAAAGGGATCAGGTGGGGCCTCTGCACCAGCCAAAAACAGCCAAGAGGGTGCAGGGAGGGGTTAAGACATTAGATGAGAATAGTTTTCTGTGCACTTAAGGACTGCTATAGAAAACCTTAAGTGCACAGAAAACCTTAAATGCACAATGGACCTTTTAAAAAGGCACAGCAAAAAACAACATGCATTTCATTTCCTACCAGTCCCCTGGGGTGCTTGGGGCTGGATGAAGCTCTCCTGGGCAGCTGGCAGAACCTCTGTGGTGCACACTGACTGTCGTCACTTTGACGGGCCGAGGAAGTGCCCAGCTAGGCTGAAATGGGAGAGTGAGTGAATGAAATTTTCAGTCTAGAGGGGTTGTACATGGTCAAAGGGATCAGGTGGGGCCTCTGCACAAGCCAAAAACAGCCAAGAGGGTCCAGGGAGGGGTTAAGATTATTGTAGATTTGAAGGTTTTCTGTGCACTTAAGGACTGCTATAGAAAACCTTAAGTGCACAGAAAACCTTAAATGCACAATGGACCTTTTTAAAAAAAGGCACAGCAAAACAACATGCATTTCATTTCCTACCAGTCCCCTGGGGTGCTTGGGGCTGGATGAAGCTCTCCTGGGCAGCTGGCAGAACCTCTGTGGTGCACACTGACTGTCCGCCTTTGACGCGGCCGAGGAAGTGGCCCAGCTAGGCTGAAATGGGAGAGAGATTGAATGAAATTTTCAGTCTAGAGGGGTTGTACATGGTCAAAGGGATCAGGTGGGGCCTCTGCACAAGCCAAAACAGCCAAGAGGGTGCAGGGAGGGGCCAAGAGATCATTGTAGATTTAAGGTTTCTGTGCACTTAAGGACTGCTATAGAAAACCTTAAGTGCACAGAAACCTTAAATGCACAATGGACCTTTTTAAAAAAGGCACAGCAAAACAACATGCATTTCATTTCCTACCAGTCCCCTGGGGTGCTTGGGGCTGGATGAAGCTCTCCTGGGCAGCTGGCAGAACCTCTGTGGTGGTGCACACTGACTGTCCGCCTTTGACGCTGGCCGAGGAAGCTGCCCAGCTAGGCTGAAATGGGAGAGTGAGTGAATGAATTTTTCAGTCTAGAGGGGTTGTACATGGTCAAAGGGATCAGGTGGGGCCTCTGCACCAGCCAAAACAGCCAAGAGGGTC